ATATCGGGCTGAGCCTTCTCCAAGGACGCCAGGCCGCTTGGTGCAAGTAGCTCGAGCGAGGAGGAGGGCCGCGCTGAGGCGGGAGGACCACGAGGCAGCGCCAGCCCCCCTTTCGCCATCAGCAGCACCCCCGCCAAAAGCGGCGCCTCCGCCCCCGGCGTCGCCCCCAGGGCTGGGCTTCGTCGGGCTCGGCCAGAGGCCCGCCGCTGGGCCGTCGCCACCTTGCCTGGGCCCCCGTCTCGTTCTGGGGGGCGAACGGCGCAGGAGCATCGGCACCCCGGGAGCACGAGGGCGCGAGATCGTTCGCTGAAGCAGCGACGAGGCCTCGAGAGCGGCACGCAGGGGCATCATTCATGTCCATGGAGGAAAGGACGCTCGCGGGGCCGCAGTCCACCGCTGAGATCGGCCTCGGCCTGGAGAAGCTAGCGCGCGAGCTAGGGCGGGCCAACGGGCACTCGGGGAAGTCAGGAGGCGCGGCCAAGAGCACGCTGGCGAGCACCGGGCGGGCTGAGGAGCAGCTCGTCAACCTCGCGCGCGGTTGCGACAGTTTCCACGCGACGCTCTGCCCGGGTCCGCTGGGCAAGGACGCGCTTCATGGGCTGAGGTCGGCGAGCCTGAAAACGCGCCCGCTATTCCGATCCATCAAATTCCCGGCGAACATCACCAACGACATAGCGCACGGGCCCGCGGCCATCCAGCACGGGGAGCGCGATCGCACGCACCTCCCAAACTACTGCCTCTTGTGCGCCAACTTCCCCGAGACGTCGGAGGCGGACATGAACAACTTCGCGCCGCCCAAAGACTACAAGCTGGAGACCTGGCCGAGGCACGCCACGACGGTGCAGCAGTGGATCCAGGACGCCAAGAGGGAGTCACGGGCCCGGGCGTGCTTCTATGGCCAGGAGCACTACAAGTCACAGGTGGACGCCGCGAAAACCCTCATGAAGCTCAACGACGAGGCCGACTCGGCGCGGCCGCCCCAGGTGATCTTCAGCGTCTGGTGCGAGTTCCGTGGCAGGTGGTGCGAGGAGCTCAGGATGCCACGCTCGCGTCTGCCCGAGCTGCTGGCGGGCGACAACCCAAGCTGGGACAGGATCAAGTTTGCGTTTCAGGCGCCGAGAAGCCCAGGGGATCCCTCGGCGCGGCTCAGGACGCCTCGCACCTTCTTCCTGGACGACCCCACCCAGCTCTTCGTGGCGGACATCAAGGCCAGGCACCACAGCCAGCTGCAGAAGTCGCAGTGGCAAATGGCACTGCGCTCGTCCGCCGCGCAGCCGCGCCCGCAGCTGGCGGGCTCGGGGCGCCCGAAGGCAGCGGCAGGAGGTGGCGCAGGCGGCCGGGGAGGCGGAGGCGGAGGAGGAGCCCAGGAGGGAGGTGGCCAAGGCGGCGCAGGGCTCTGGGGCAAGGCCCTCGCGCGCAAGGAGTATGGCCGCAGCCTTGATCACCGCCAAGTAGCCAACCATCGGCCGCGTCATCTGCTGGGGCATCTCGAGCTGGAAGGGCTGCCGCAACTCCACCTGTCCGCACTCGCACAAGCCCATTGGCAAGGTCGGCCTCTTGGACAGGTCGGCGCAGATGCAGCTCATCCAGCGAGGCGGCATCAAGGGCGGCACGAAGGTCGGTTCGCACGAGGAGGCAGATCCGTAAGTTGGGCGCCCCGAGGAAGGAGCAGGCGGCAGAGGACGACTCCAAGAAAGCAGGCGGGGCTGCATGGGCACCCACCAGCCGCGGGGCCGAAGGCCAAGGCGGCGCCTAAGGCTAGCGGGCCGACAGCGGGGGGGGCGCGCACCTGAGGACGACGCGGTCGACCCCCGAGGGGCGGCAGAGGGTGCAAGCGCCGACCTGAACACTCCTCAGGGTGGGCACCCCGAGCCGCCGCAGCCAGCTCGCGAGAGCTAGGCCCCATGCGGGGCGGGGCGAGGCGGGAGAAGGAGCTGAGCCGCGTCCGATGGGCTAGGTCGAGGAGCACCTGCGCCTGACCACGCAAGGCCCGGGCGCCAAGCGGCTGTCCAACCACCGCCAAGCGAAGCAGCAGCGAGACCCGCTGCCGGACTCCACTCCGGAGCTGGCAAGGCGCAAAGAGGTTATTCACGAGATCGACACCGACCCCGGCTTGCAGCGCGTGGCCACGGAGGGCGGCTTGCTGGGCTGCTACTTGCGCAGCAGAGTGCGAGCGGCTAAGAAGGCGGGCGAGCAACGCGATGTCGAGGTGCTGGCAGCTCCCGCCGTCGAGCTCGGCTGCCCCGAGCTCGCGGATGCGGCGGGGGCCTTCCTGCAGCTCCACTATCGGCGGAGCAAAGCGGGCGAGGGCAGGCCGAAGCGGGCCCCATCACCTGGGGCGCGCGCAGACGATGAGCCGGGCCAGGGCACGATCGCGCTGGCGGGCCTCAGCTGGCAGATGCTGGATTATCGCGACAAGTTGGCCGTGGACGCGGACGCCACGGCGGCGCTGGACGGCTTGCAGCACGCAGCCCACCTCAACCACCCGAGATCGAGCTACGCGAGCGCGCAATCATCAATGTGGCGGCAGCCGCCATGATCGGCAACAACGCGGAGCGACCTGGGGGTCGGCCGTCGGCCATTGAGGTCCAGGAGGAGGGCTCGAGGCTGAGGAAGGGGCTGCCCACGGCCGCCCGGGATGCGGAGGGGGCGCTCGGCGAGACGCCGGGGGCGCTCACCCAAGCGGAGGCGACCCCCGCATCTTCCGCCACGACCTCACCGACCGCGACCCCGACAAGGACTACCGCATGCACGCCGCCATGCACTCCCACGCAGCAAGGCGCTCGGGGCCGTGCAGGTGGACTTCTACGGGCGGGCGGCGGTCGAGCTCATCGTCGGCTCGGAGAACATCCCGTGGGTGCTCGTGCACAAGGGGCACATGCGCATGCTCGTCGCCCCAGGCCCAGGCACCCTTGGCCAGCTGTGCGGCGCGGGGATCGACGCGCAGGAGCTTCCGGCGCTAGGGTGGGAGATACTGCCGAAGCTGGCGCTGCGCACCAGGTCGCCGCGGGCGCACCCGGGGGCGTCGGCGTGCCAGAGGTGCGCCGAGGCTGCCGGCATCGCGGTGACTCGGCGGCCCGCGTCGGGGCCCCTCGCCAGCTCCGCTCACGGTGCCAAAGACCACTTGGGCGAGGTCACGAGCGCGCTCTGGAAGGGCGCGGCCTAAGGAAGGGGTCTGATGCGCACCGACGCTCACGAGCACCTGCTCAGTAGCGCGGCGAGCGCTCCGACGGCGAGGGTGCCCAAGCAGAACCAGGACCGCGCCATGAGCGACAAGGGCAAGCCGATTTGGGACGGCACCGCCCCGAACGCGATATGCCTCAAGGAGGGCCACCCGCCCGCAGACCAGCCGCGCCACGAGGACCTGGCGCGCATCATCCTGCGGTGGAAGGCCAGGCTGCCGGGGGTCGAGCTCTACCTCGCCAAGGGCGTCAAGGATGCGTTCATGCGGGCTGCGATGCACGAGATGGATACCTGCATCTTCGGGGCCGAGCTCGAGGGCGGCAAGTGGGGAGCGGCGGCGCTGATCACCGCGGTGCACATGGCGCTCGCGTTCGGCTGGGCGGGCAGTCCAGGCGAGTGGATGATGCCAGCGCGGATGGCGAAGTGCCATCGCTCGGCCCATCGCCCGGGGGGCGCGCGCCAGGACGGAACCGCCCCCTTCCACAGCTCGCTCTCGATGGGCGACCAGGTGCTGGTCGAGCCCGACATCGGCGCGAGGGCGGCCCAGACCGGCGCGACCGCGCTGGAAGGCACCCGGGCGCGCTTGGGCCCTGAGGCGGCCATCGAGGAAAAGAACGTGGAGAAGGGCGGCTGTGAGACCAAGAAAATCTGCTGGGAGAGCTGCACCGGGCGACGGATGGGCACCTCCTGGCGGACGAGGCCCTGGGCTACGGCCAGCAGAACATTCCCTGGAACTTCCTGGAGGTCTATCGCGGCAGCCAGCAGTGCTGGAGTCTGGCCATGCCAGCCATGCGCTGCCTGGTGGGCGCCACCGATTAAGAGGGAGGGGGCAAGGGGTGGGGTGCTGTGGACCGCTTCTGGCAGGCCACCGAGGCGGCACGCGCGTTGGCAGCGGATCGCACTAATTGGAAATCGAGATTCGTGAAAGTTTTGCCGGGCGTGCTGGCCATCCACGAAACGCTCGCGCTGCCCAGTGCCCGATGCCGGGTCACCCGGGTAACGCGGGACGCCGCGCTCGAGCGCATCGCGGCCGTGGACTGGGTCAACTCCAAAGTGCGCGCCCCACTCCGCGCCCGAGTTCGCGGGCGCCCTCGGCGAGGCCGCGGGGGCTGAGGAGGAAGAAGAGGCTATCATAGCGATAGCGGGGTTCATGAACCCCGCCACCTTCGCCGCGAAGGCAAGCCCAAAAGGTTGGCAGGGGCAGGGCGTTATCATGCGCGGCGGCGACAACTACGACGTCCACTGCTGGCCCCAGAACAGGCGGGCCAAGCATCGTTACGCCAGCTTCTCGATTACCGCGGCCACTTGCCTGGAGGCTGTCTATGGCCACGAGGTCGCCATCGCTTATTTCCGCACCGACCAAAACATCACGGCCTACACCTTCTCCCGCGCGGCCGAGAGGAGGAGGCCACGGCGATAGCAGAGGCGAAGGGCCTCGAGGTCGTCAGCCTCAAAGACAGCTGGGCCAGGCACTTGAAGCGAGGTTGGCTGCATCGCGCGCTGATCTGGGAGGGCCAGAGCGACGCGGATGCGAGGGTGGCGCAGCAGCTGTCAGCGGCCAAGAAAGAAGAGCCGCACCGCCCGCGAGAAGTCAGGATGGCCCCCGGCGAAGCAGTCGTGACGCGGTGCCTTGGGAGCGCTGTGTAAAGCAGGCGCCAGGCACGGTGCCGTCGCGTTGATGCAAGGGGCAGCTGGGGCGCCTACCCCGGGTCACGCGCTCGCGCCGCCGGGGGTCGCCGAGTGGGCCTCCCAGGGCGGAGGCGCCGTGGACATCGTCGTGGCGAGCCTCGCGAACGACGACGGCGAAGAGGCGAGGC